GGTCGGGTACTGAAGGTGAAGACCCGTCCGGTAAACTCTATAACCCAGAGGTCATTGCATTTGACCTCTAGGTAATGAATTCGCATGATGAAACTCTTCAAAAGCTCCATGCATGCTCCGATTTGAAAGGTCAAGAGAAATTAAGAGTTTAGGTTTCACGTTACGTTTTGGTCAGTGACTTCATAATTAGGGCTTTCCAATTTCATCGGTGAAATAGAAAGAAAACAACAGGCTTCACAGTCCAGGGACAAGATGAATGGCCGTGCATGTTTGATTTGAAAGAACGAGGAAGAATTAGATCAATGGCGTTTTGAGCTTAGGGTTAAAGATTTAAGCGTTTCAAATCCAGTAATGAAAGAGGAAAAAGAGCAGCGGGATTCCCGAGTATAGGGAAAGATTGAGTGTTTGAGGCTTTAATTTTATGACTTTGCACAAATTTGTGCAAGGATTTGGGATTGATGGGCTTGGGGCGGATGAGAGAAAGGAGAGAGATTAGGGAAAGAGGGGCGGCGGGGGAAAGGAAAAAAAGACTTAGGGTTAGGGATTGGGGTTGGTCTTATGGGTTTAATCTCGGAGACGGAATCTAGCCTTTTGATCTTTGATCAACAGCCTTGATAAATCGAGGCTTTATGGGATTAAAGAAATTATTTTGGAAAAATACCGGAACCGTTGGATCTGTGTGATCCAACGGCTGAGATAATGTCTGATAACATGTCAAAATTAAAAGAGAAAATAGGGATAAATATGGATCGTTGATGGTTTGGATCAACGACTCAGATTGCTTGTGCTTGTTTTGTGAGTGAGAGTGACGAGTGATGTGGCATGACTTGATTGGCTAAGAGAGGTGGCGGGGATCGCCAAGGTAGAGAGGAAGGAGTTGGACCTGGGTCAGATTTTGGCTTTGGGCTTGGTTATTGGGCTATTTTTTATTTAGATGGTAGCCACTTTATGTTTAACTAAGAGATTGCAATTGTAGCCTTTTAGCTTTTTAACCCTTTTGAAATTAATTTATATAAACTTAATTACTTTCCATAAAATATAGTAAAATTATAATTATCAAATACACCACTAATTATTGTAATTAATTATTTATAAAAATACTTTATCTTTTAAATTATGACACTAATTTTGAATTATTGAAATAGTAGACTAATTAGCTAAAAATTAAGGAATAATTTATTAAATTAATTATAAATCCTATGTAATGTACATAAATATTATTTTAATAATCTCAAAATTGTGAGTATGATATATTTGTAATTATTATTAATTTCAACACCATTAACACTTAATTCTTTTGTATAAATAGGTGTTATTGATTAGAAAATATTTTCAAAATATTTATTGCAAATTATTAAGTATAAATAAATAAATTTTAAAAAGGGAGGGTCAAAATTGGTCGTCAACAATGCTCATACTTGACTTGTTGACAATTCAAACACCAAGCAACATATCCAACAATGACTTTCTTCATCCTTCACCATCCGTAATATTGATGTAAATCACGATACATCTTCGTAGTACCCGAATGAATAAAATACCCGCGAACTATGAGCCTCCTCAAAATCAACCTCTCAACCCGTCCATGTTAGAAACACAAATCCAGCCCAAAAACCGCAACAAACTGTCATCACCGATAGTCACTTCCTTAGCACCACCTCACTGCACCGTGTCCTTAAGGACAAGCAAATGGGGATCATCATATTGACGAGACTTGATACGCTCAAACAAAGACGACTGAGATACAACACAAGCAAGGATCTTGCTAGGCTCCGAAATATCCAATCTCACCAACCTATTGATCAAAGCCTGAACATCCATAGCTAAGGGCCTCTCGGTAGCTGGAACGAAGGCTAAACTCCCCATACTCTCTGCTTTCCTACTCGAGGCGTCTGCCACCCCATTTGACTTCCCCGGATGATAAAGAATAGTGAAATCATAGTCCTTCAATAACTCTAACCACTTACGCAGCCTCAAGTTCAAATCTTTTTTCTTGAATAGATGCTAAAGACTCTGATGATCTGTATACACTTTACAAGACACACCATACAAGTAATGCCTCCAAATCTTGAGCGCATGTACAATATCTGCTAACTCCAAATCATGAACTGGATAGTTCTTCTCATGGGGCTTAAACTAGTATGACGTGTAGGTAATCACCCTACCATCCCACATAAACTCACCCAATGACAACCCGCGAAGCATCACAATAAATCGTATATGACCCCGATTCTGAAAGCAAAACCAACACTAGAGTTGTAGTCAAAGTAGGCTTGAGCTTCTGAAAGCTCTCCTCAAACTCATCCGACTACCTGAAAGGAGCGCCCTTCTGAGTCAACTTAGTCAATGAGGCTGCAATAGATAAAAATTCCTCTACGAAGCGACAGTAGTAACCAACCGAACCCAAAAAAACTCCTGATCTCTATAATGGTAGAAGGTCTGGGCCAACTCTGAATTGTCTCAATCTTCTTCCAGTCCACCGTGATCCCATCAATAGATACTACATGACCCAAGAACGCTATCGAGTCCAGCCAAAACTCACACTTGGAGAACTTAGCATACAACTTCTTCTCCCTCAAATTCTAAAGCACAATATTCAAATGTTGCTCGTGCTCCTCCCTACTACGGGAATATACCAATATATCATTAATGAACACAATGATAAAAGAATCCAAATAAGGTTGGAACACACTATTGATAAAATGTATGAAAGTTGTTGAGGCGTTGGTCAAACCAAAAGATATCATCAAAAACTCATAATACCCATAACGAGTCTTGCAAGCAGTTTTAGGAATGTCCGAATCCCTGATCTTCAACTGGTGATGCCCTGACCTCAAGTCAATCTTCGAGAACACCCTGTCACCCTGAACCTGGTCAAATAAATCATCAATGCATGGCGATGAATACTTCTTCTTAATGGTAACCTTGTTCAAATACTGATAGTCAATACACATTCTCATAGACCCATCCTTCTTCTTAACAAATAACACCGGTGCACCCAAAGGTGACACATTAGGCCTGATGAACCCCTTATCCAGCAACTCTTGCAACTATTCCTTCAACTGCGCTGGAGCCATACGATACGGAGAAATAGAGATAGGCTTAGTGTCCGGTGCCAACTCAATGTCAAAATCAATATTCTTATCAGGTGGCATGCCGGTAGTTCTGAAGGAAACACATACGGAAACGCCCTCACAATTGAATATGACTCAGCATTAAGAGTATCAGCACTAACATCTCTGACAAAAGCTAAATACGTTAAACATCCCTTCTCAACCATCCGTTGAGCCTTCAAAAATAAAATCACTCTACTAGGAGTGCAACCAAGAGAACCCTTCTACTCCAACCTCGAAAACCACGATATCGCCAATGTGAAGGTCTTAACGTGACAATCCAGAATAACATGGTATGGAGATAACCAATCCATACCCAAGATCGCATCAAAATCCACCATATCTTATAATAGAAAGTCCATGGAGAGTGAATAGCTTATATAACATTATAGTTTGTAGCTTGTCAAATTTTATAATATAGAAAAATATCGGTCGATAGGGATTGGTTAATATATTCTTACAAATAAGTCTTGTTTAAATTACTATTTGAGAAAATATTAAGACGAATGGGGTGGTGAATTGATTAACTAACAATCTATAAATAAAGTAGCAGCGAAAATAATTTTTTCTTTCAGAAATATGATTAAAAGAAAATAATGGGATCCTGACTTCACTTGATGTTGCAATTATAACGTAGGTTCAATTATTATTCAACTTCTATTCTCACAAACATATAGATATCTCTAATGGTTAAAATTCACATATTATTACTTAAATCGACTAGTTAATCATGATTTTTCGATTACACAACTTAACTATCAAAATTAAGCAATATTAAGAGCTAGGAATATATGCTAAAATTAACATATGCTCTTTTTTGGCGATCCTCTTTCAATTAACTCACATGTTATAACTAATTTATATAAGAATTTCTCTTGCGATTACAATCTTTAATACTATCATAGTTATAACATGCAGCAGGTAATTAACATTTAGACGATAACTTGTACTACAATTAACTGTATTACTTATTTTGCTCTTTCGATTACAAAATTAGTAAAAGTTAATTTACAGAAACTTGAATAGATGTCATTAATCTAGTTAACATCTACTGCTGAAGCAGATGATATATATAAAGTTTCTGGTCAAGTAAGTGTAGTTGAAAAATAATTACTACTAGTATAACAAAATATCAAGCTTTATCATTTTCCTAGCACGAGAAAAATTACTCCATAGTAAAGTAACTACAATCACAAGAATTGTTCTTTTACATCAAATAAGAAAATAGAAAAAAAATATTCAAAGTGAATAATTCTTCCTATTTAATTATTATCAAAAAATAAAATGAGATTAATAGTGGATTTTAAATTTCAAACTCAAATGAAACGAGCTAATGCAATGGCTTCACAACAATGTACACACTTAACAAAAGAAGCTAAAGAGGAAAAAATATGGAAAGTAATTAAGTTGGCAATTGGTTACACCAAAATTTTCCTTCTGGAAAGATTACCTCAAGCCAAGGAAATGGTTCCCTTATATAGTTGTGAGAGCTCCTGTTTTGAAGTTTTTTTTTATAATAGATTTACTCACCACTTGCATATTCTACTTGCATTGTTGTCTTCCAGTTGCTAAACAATGGGAATAGATGAGTCTAGTTAGAATATTTCTATCTCCACTTGCTGCTCCAACATGCAATTTGCTTTAATTTGTTGTAGTACATGAGTTCTTCTTTTTCTTATATCAGTGCCAGCTCTCTTTCCTGAAACTTCCTTTGCATTTTGGTTTCTTTCTCTCTTTTTTTCTTTTATCTTTTTCTTGTAAAAAGATGATATAGTCACGACCCAAATTCCATCATAGAATCGTGGTGACACCTAATCTCCGAGACTAGGTAAGCCACTCACTTTAACAATATTAAAATAATAAGACATGATATAATAAGACAAAATGTAATATAAAAGCGAAAATAGAGTTAATATAAGCCAAAAACGACTACACACAACTTTCCAGAACTAGACAGTACAGAGTCATGAGCTCTAACTGAACACATAAGAAATATTCAAAGTACAATACTATTTGAATGTAAAATTAACAGTATCAACATAAAGGATGAGACTCCAAGGGATTGCGACAACATACATCTATACCTTGAATCTTCGCGACCAATATAAGCGCTCACTCTCTAGATATGCTGCCTCCAATACCTGGATCTGCACAAAAATGCACAGAAGGGTAGTATGAGTACACCATATTCGGTACCCAGTAAGTATCAAGACTAACCTCGGTGAAGTAGTGATGAGGTTCAAGTCATATAATACTCACTATTCAAGAAAAACCTGTTCAATATATCAAAAACTCACAGTAGAATATGTAACGAATAGTAGTATCATCAATCTCGTTAGAACATGTGATAACAACTCAACGTAGGAGAGTCCAACTTTGACTGCAAATCATCAACTAAAAGTGGAGGCACATAATAGAATGTCAAATTCAACTAGCAACTCATAAAAATAAAAGACGGTGATTAAGACAAACATGTATATGATCAAATATCATCTTCGTTTCATCACATGCACATCATCAAGAGGATTACCCCCAAATCATCACATAACATCATCAATAATGCCACTCTTATTTCACCACATGCGCATATCACCACCCTTAATTCGCCCCTTGTGCATCACAATAATCACAATCGCATGACAAAGACCTTGAAAGGAGCAAGATAACAAGGGCGCAACTTGCCCTTCTTCCCAAATCTCACCGCACCCTTTATGGGGGAAACTTTAGGTAGGCCTTCTCACCCTCCATGAATGCCACATCACGAACCTTTCGATCCGCATAAATCTTTTGCCTAGACTGCGCTGTATGAAGTCGTTCCTGAATTAATTTTACCTTCTCTAAAGCATCACAAACCAAATATGTGCCAAATAGCCTGGCCTCACCAACCTCAAACCAACCAACCAGAGAACGACATCGCCTCCCCTATAGTGCCTCATACAGAGCCATCTAGATACTTGACTGGTAACTCTTGTTTTAAGCAAACTTTGCTAGGGGTAGAAACTGGTGTCACTTACCTCCAAAATCAATAGTGCATGTGCTCAACATATCCTCTAAGATTTGAATGGTCCGCTCGGACTTCCCATCCATCTGAGAATGTAATGCGATACTCAAATCAACTGGCATGCCCAAATTACACTAAACCGCTCTCCAAAAATACGACATGTGTTTCGCGATTCGAGATGATAAAAACAGATACACCATGCAAGCGAACAATCTCCCGGATGTAGATCTTACCCAATTGCTCCGAAGTGTGGGAAGTAATAACTGGAATAAAATATGCAGACTTGGTCAGTCTATCCACAATGACCCAAAGTGTGTCAAATCTCCTTTATGTCCTTGTTAAACCTACCACAAAGTTCATAGTGATACGCTACCACTTCCACTCCGGTATATGAATCTTCTGAAGCAAACCAGTAGGCCTCTGATGCTTATACTTGACCTGCTGACAATTCAAACGCCGAGCAACATACCCAACAATGTCTTTCTTCATCCTCCCCCACTATTAATGCTACTTTAAATCACGGTACATTGTCGTAGCTCCCGGATGAATGGAATACCGCAAACTATGAGTCTCTTCAATAATCAATCCTCTCAACCCATCCACATTAGAAACACAAATCCGGTTCTAAAGCCGCAATATACCATCATCACCAATAGTTACCTCCTTAGCACCACCTCACAGCACTGTATCCTTAAGGACAAGCAAGTGGGGATCATCATACTGGCAAGCTGTAATGCGCTCAAATAAGGACGATGGAGATACAACACAATCTAGGACTCTGCTAGGCTACATGATGTCTAATATCACGAACCTGTTAGCCAAATCCTGAACATTCATAGCCAAAGGCCTCTTCCTAGCTGGAATAAATGCTAAACTCCCCATGGTCTTCGCCTTTCTACTCAAGGTGTCTGCTACACATTGTCCTTCCCCGGATGATAAAGAATGATGATATCATAATATTTCAATATCTCTAACTACCTCTGCTTCCTCAAATTCAATTCTTTGTGTTTAAATAGATTATGAAGACTCCAATGATCCGTATACACCTCACAAGACATTCCATATAAATAATTCCTCCAAATCTTGAGTGCATGTACAATAGTTGCTAACTCCAAATCATGCACCACATAGTTCTTCTCATGGGGCTTCGATTTACGCGAAGCATAGGCAATCACCCTATTATCCTCCATTAACACACACCCAATGCCAACCTGTAAAGCATCACAGTAGACTGGATATGAACCCAATACTGAAGGCAAGACCAAAATTAGAGTTGTCAAGGCAGTCTTGAGCTTCTAAAAGATCTCCTCATACTCGTCTGACCACCTGAATGGAGCACCCTTCTGTGTCAAATTAGTCAATAGGGTTGCAATAGATGAAAACCCCTCCACAAAGCGGCAATAATGCCCAGCCAACCCTAGAAAACTCTGAATCTCTATAGCGGTAGAAGGTCTGGACCAATTCTGAACTGCCTCAATATTCTTCGGATCTACCTTAATCCCCTTATTGGAAACTACATGACCCAAGAATGCCACTGGTTCCAACCAGCACTCATACTTAGAGAACTTAGCATATAGCTTCTTCTCCTTTAAAGTCTGGAGCACGATCCTCAAATGCTGCTCATGCTCTTCCCTACTACGGGAGTACACTAAAATATCATCAATGAACACAATGACAAAAGAACCCAAATAAGGTTGGAACACATTGTTCATCAAGTGCATGAAAGTTGCGGGGGCATTAGTCAAGACAAAGACGTCACCAAAAACTCATAATGCCCATAACAAATTTGAAAAGCAGTCTTAGGGATGTCCAAAACCCTGATCTTCAACTGATGATACCCTAACTTCAAGTTGATCTTCGAGAACACCCTGGAACCCTAAAGCTGATCGAACAAGTCATCAATGCATGGCAATAGATATTTGTTCTTGATTTTCACCTTGTTCAACTACCGATAGTCAATACTCATTCTCATAGACTCGTCTTTATTCTTAACAGACAACCCTGGTGCACCCCAATGTGAGACACTAGGCCTGACGAAACCTTTATTTAATAATTCTTGCATTTATTCCTTTAATTTGATGGAGCCATGCGATACTGTGGAATAGATATAGGCTTAGTTTCCGGTGCCAAATTAATGCCAAAATCAATATCCATATTGGGAGGCATGCCCGGTAGGTCTGTAGGGAAAACATTTGGAAACTCCCTCACCATGAGGACTGAGCTAACTGTTGGAGTATCATCACTAACATCTCTCACAAAGGCTAAGTACTCCAAACACCCCTTCTCAACCATCCGTTGAGCCTTCAAAAAAGAAACCACTATGTTAGGAATCTACCCCAAAGAACCTTTCCATTCCAACCTCGACAACCCCGTCATAGACAACATTACGGTCTTAGCGTGATAATCAAGAATAGCATGATACAAATATAACCAATCCATATCTAAGACCACATCAAAGTCCACCATATTAAGCAACAAAAGGTCAATCCTAGTTGCGTAGCCACCAATAGTGATCAAACAAGAACAATAGACACGATCCACCATAATAGAAATCCCGACGGGTGTAGACACATAAATAGGAATATCCATAGAATCACGAGGCATATCCAAATATGAAGCAAAGTATGATGGCACATATGACTAAGTAGAACCCAAATCAAATAAAACTGAAGCATCTCTATGATAGATCAGAATAATACGTGTAATGACTGCATCTTTCCTACTAGGTAAAACATAATAACAGGCATGGCCTCCCCCTCTAGGATGGCCTTTACCCGCCTGTCCTCCACCTCTAGCTGGATGTGCAGGTGGAGTAGCATCTGGAGCGGAAATCATAACTTGAGTACCCTGCTGAGGTCCACCCATTCGAAGTCTGGGACAATCTCTCACAATGTGCCCAGTATCACCACACTCGAAATAACCTCTCTGCGGGGGTGGTTGTTGGTACTGAGTCTGCCCCAAATGATTTGAATAACCACTACAGGAAAGTTTCTAGTTCGAAGGTTTGAAAAGTTTATAGTTGTGACCGGGAATTAACTTTGATGCTATCGGGATCATATTATTAATACGGGACTTAGGATAGGTTCATTATATCATTTGGAACTGGTGTGAAAAATTTGGGTTCATTCCAAGTGGATTAGACGTGGTTCGACATGAGTTTGGGAGTTAGAAGTTTGATTAGTTCATTAAGCTTGAATTCAGGTGTGATTTGTGATTTTGATGTTACTTTGTGTGATTTAAGACCTCGAGTAGGTCCGTGTTACATTTTGGGAGTGATCAGTGTGATTGGGCGGGGTCCCAGGGATCTTGGGTGTGTTTCGGATGGATTCCAGATCATTTTGGAGATAGTTGGCAGTTCAGGTCTGGTGTTTTCGCACTTATAAGGTGTTTGTCCGCAAGTGCGAGTCAGTAGAAGCGGGCGTGAGGTAGCAGATATGAGTATGGCTAGTAAATAGAGAGTCCGCAGATGCGATGGACCATGCGCATATGCGCGGGCATATGTGCGCTTCTTTGTCTGTAGAAGCGGATCTGCGGATCCGCAGAAGCGGGATTTTTAGCCGTAAAAGCGGTAGGTTGGTCCTTTAAAAGATTTTCGCATCTGTGAGGTATTTTCCGTAGATGCGATGTCGCAGAACCGACATTTGGACCGCAAAAACGATAATTGATGTGCATAATACTTTTAACGGAAAAGGGCCAAAAATGCCCCTAACATATTGAAAATAGCTCAAAAATACCCTCGATTAACCTTTCGGTCTACAAATGCCCCTAACGTTTATTTTTGGGCTCAAACTTACCCTTATATCTAACAGAAGGGCCAACAATATCCCTAACGTATTGTAAATGGCTCAAAAATACCATCTGTTAACCTTTTGGTCCGCAAATGCCCCTAACGTTTGTTTTTGGGCTCAAACTTACCTCTATATCTAACAGAACTAACTTGGTCAATTTTTTGACTTTAACTTCGACATGTGGTATTTTCTTAATCCGTCATGTATATTATTTGTATTAAATAAACCCACCTGTATCTTTTAATACACCCAATGACCTTGACCCGCTCCTATATATTTGGACGGTCAGCTAAAAATAATTACATTCGCTAGTTAAATATATAAAAAAAATATACATTGATTATATATAAAAATATGTATATTATACATTATTATTTTAATATATATTTTACATGATATTATTTTTACTCTGTTAACCTTTTGGTCCGCAAATGCACCGTATAATTTCTCGTAAAAATAATTTCTCGTAAAAATAATTATTCTCGTAAAAATTAGTTTTCTCGAATTTGATTATTATTCTTAATTTCACTTTTAATTTTGGCTTTTGATTGTTGAAATCTAAGGGAGAAATTTGGGAATTTTTGACTATGGCTTTGGAGAGTAAAAAATGGAGATTTAAACCCCAATTTAATGTCGAATTTGGAAAAGACTTGTATATTTTGACTCGTATTCAAATACGTAATCGGGATTTGTGACTTTGTTCGGGTTTCGAGAAGTGGTCCCGAGTTGGCATTTTGGTTGAATTTGTATTTTGAGAAAGATTGAAACTTTATTATTTGGAATTGATTTCTATACCCGTGTTTGATGTTATTGAGTTATTTTTGACTAGTTTCGAGCCGTTTGGAAATCGATTCGGGTGGAAAGGGCTTTCTGGAGAAATGATTCATGCGGTTTTGTGGTAAGTAACTTGTCTAAACTTAGTTTGAGGGTAATTTTCCCGTTGGCTATGATATTTGGGATATATTGAGGGTGACACACGTACTACGTGACTGACATATATGCGTACATAGTGGTTATTCATGATCCGGGTAGACCTTAGGTTATTTTGTGCCTTATTTTGCTATCATGCCCATTATTTCCGTGTTTTCTCTACGTGTATGGCTACTTGAGCTATTATTCATGTTAGAAATTATGTCTAGGCTATGTGCTTATCTGTTGAGACATGATAGGGCTATTCTTGCTATATATTTGTTTGCCTTGATTGTAATCATATTCTCAGTCGTGATATTACATCTGCATTTTATATCTCTTTCTCTATGCATTCTTTATATATTATCTCACACGCTATTGATGCCCTTATATGTGTGACACGGTTTGAGCTGAGTACTGTGAGATGTGAATATTTGGGACTTGAGTGGTTGATGACTAAACTTGGGCCATAGAGACGATTTGGTATTGATTATGAGGTGATGCGTACGTCAAGCCCTACATTGGGCTGAGTGGTAATGATTGCGAGGTGACACATGCACCAAACCCATATTGGGCTATGTGATATTGATCATTGACTTAGATCTAATCAGAGCATGGGCAAGGACCCGCCCCTCTGGAGTCAAGTAATAACCGTGGGCGCAGGCACACGCGTCATATATGTGCTTGATGAGGGACTTGTGTCAGGCCCCCGTACAGTGTTGGGTGTTGTTGTGTGTGTGATGATTGAAGGGAATTTATGCCATGCACCATACATGTGTTGAGATTAGACATACTTGATGATTTAACTGCGATATTATCGGTTCTAACATGTATACTTGTCATGCAGGTACCGAGTTGTGTTTCTTCCTTCATACTTATTGGTACTTGAGGTTTTTATTTGATGTGGGACCTGAAAACATAATTAAATTGATAAGACCATGTTTTGGTGATTCATGTGGAAAACTTATACCTTAACTATTATTCTTGAAAATCATGTTTATTTTTTTCTTATTGTGAAAGGTTGCACTTAATATTATTTGAGCTACTTTTCCTGTTGCCGTTATTATTCAGCTATCGTTATTATTGGCTAATGGAATTTAAATATTGGACCTTGCCAAGCTCACACAGCTTTCAGTCCGAGGTTACGCTTGTTACTTATTGGCTACATGAGGTCGGTTGTACTCATACTACACTCTGCACTATTTGTGCAGATTCAGGTACTGCCGAGAGAGGTGATTGCTAGTGAGTGGCAACGGTACTAGTTCTCAGAGATTTCAAGGTAGCTGATGTTTTTGTTCGTAGGCCTTGAAGCTCCTTTTCTCTGGGTTTATATTATTATTTTTCTATCTTTCAGATAGTACTGTATCTCGAGATCAGACTCTATATTTACAATTTCTATATCACTCATGTACTTGTTGATACTAGATCATGGGATGGTTTTAGTTGTGTTATTACTATTGGCTTCAGTTATTTATGATTATTCCACTGTTGGGACTATTTATTTCTGTTAATTAAGTTTGTTCCTGCTTATTGAATGTTGGCTTACCTAACAAGAAGTGTTAGGCATCGTCACGGCTTTGGTGGAATTTGGGGTCGTGACAATCATGTTGTAATTGTTATTCACGACCAATCATGGTCATCATCTGCTCCTCCAGTCTTCTAACTTCTTCAATAACATACTTTCTTTCTCTCCTTGTTTGAGGTGGATCTAAAGCAGCTCGTATTACCTGCTCCTGACCTTCTCTAACTTGTATTTGGCTGAGGGAAGCTCGTTCTTCATGATGTGGCCTAGTTGTGTCTCCCTGGCTAGCTAGAAAAGCCATAGTAATAGGATCTCTTGGGACGATCTTTTGAAAATCCTCTAGAATTATCACCTTAGCATTTTTTATCAAAGTAGTCACTAAACATGGGAAGTAAAATGATCTAATATTGTTGTTTCTTCTACATAAGTTGGTTTATTTATTAAATATCTTACCAATATTTAGCCACATTCCTTTGTATATTGCAAAAATCAATGTTGCTCTTCTAGCTCAAATTTTATCATGGTTTGGATCTGGAAAAAGACTACTGTTAATAAAATATAATAAAGCTCTACTAACACGATATATATTTATTCCTCTAAAGAAATCTAGCTCACCACTAGGTTTATAAATCTAATCCATCCCATAGGGATAAAGGGCATTAACATTTCATCAATATTGGAATGGATAAGAATACCAATTATTGCAGTGTCATCTACTTCGTCAAGTCCATACATGGTATTAATCACATCGGCAGAGAAGTAAATGATCTTACCTCGTACCCATGTGCAATTATCAGCGTTGTCAATGTTTGAGCAAAATTCTTGAACAAAAGTAGGAATGAATTCATCAGGTTGTTGCGCGAATTTAGTCTAAATGTGATAGTAAATAAGCCCCAAAAACTTTCTCGCTCTTTGCCCTTCAGTAGGAAAAAACTTCATTTTTTTCTCTGGAATAAAGTTACGATAAATGTTGTCTCTAAAACAAGTTTGTGCAAGTGGAGAGACAAATTGGATGAATCATAATTTGCAGTTCTCCTTCCTCTTGAACTATCCTACCTCTTGAACTATTGGGGTCTCATCTTTGTCCCATGTGAGAGTTTAAAATTTTTGGACAAAAAATACAGTTGTTGCAGAGAAAAGGGAATAAAAAAGAATGAAAAGAATGAGGAATAAATTTGATATGACAGATTATGACTGGAAAACCTTGAAATAAGCTTTCATGGAGTGGAAAGAGGAAGGATAGAAATAGAAAGGTTCAGGTCGGCGAAAGAAAGATAGAGAGACAATAATAATTAAAGGGTTTTGACTTCTTTGGTAAAATATTATAAACTAGAAAACTCTTTATTATTATTATTATTAAAAAAATTGTAAAAGAATTAATTTTTGAGATCTTTCTTCACCATTGGGTTTCTTACCCATTCCAATTGTTGAGCTCGTTTTGACGAGGCCTTATGTAACGATCCGACCGATCGTTTTGAGTAATTTAACCTTGATCCCCTAATTTATGCTCCATCTATGTTATATTATGTTTACGTGACTTGCCGGGGTGGTTAGTTTTGGTTTCGGGTGAGTTTCGGCATGAAATGGGACACATAGTTCCTAAGTTGGAGGTTTAAGTAGTTAGAGTTGATTGTAGTTTGACTTGTATGAAGATGACTCCGGAATAGAGTTTTGACGTTTCCAATAGCTCTGTAGGGAGAGTTTGGTCTTAGGAGCATGTCCGGATGTTGGTTTGGAGGTCTGTAGGTCGTCCCAGCATAAATTGGCGAAAGTTAAAAAGTTGGATGATTTTGGAAAGTTTGAACGGGAGTAGACTGTTTGATATCGGGGTCGGATTCTGATTCTGGAAGTTGGAAGAGGTCTGTAATGTCATTTATGACTTATGTGCAAAATTTGGTGTCAATCGGAGTTGTTTTGATATGAATCGGCGTCAGTTTTGGAATTTGAAAGTTCATAGTTCATAGGCTTGAATTTGGGTTGCGATTCGTAGAATTTGTGTTGTTTGAGGTGATTTGTGGCCTCGAGTAGGTCCATTATGTATTTTGGAACTTCTTGTTATATTCGGACGGGGTCCCGGGGGGCCCCGGTGTGGTTCAGACAAATTTTAAACTTAGCTTCATTGCTGAAGTCCCAGGCCTACTGGTTTCATCGCACCTACGGAGGGTTTGACCGCAGGTGCAGAATCACGGGTGTGGAAGGTGAGGCGCAGAAGTGAAAGGAGAGCCCAGGGCTAGGCTCGCAGGTGCGGACACATGGGCACAGGTGCGCCTCCGCAGGTGCGGCCATTTCCTTCGCAGAAGCGGATTTGGAGGAGGGTCTTTAGGTAGGACCGCATGTGCTGTCTCTTTCTCCGCTAAAGCAGGCTCTCAGGTGCGAACCACGGTCCGCATAAGCGGAATCTGAGGACTTAAGTGGAGTCCGCACCTGCGATGGTTTTTCCGCAAGTGCGGCATCGCAGAAGCGACCCAAAGGCCGCAGAAGCGAAAGTCACTGGGCAGAAAAGGGGATTTTTCGAGAGTTTGATTTCATAATTCATTTTGGGACTTTGAGAGCTCAGTTTGAGACGAAATGTTGAGGGTTGTTCAAAGGAATTGTTGGGTTAAGGATTCTTGAATCGTTTTTGATTAATTCCCATGAATATATTGTTAATTACATTTTCTAATTAGTGTTTTGGAGATTGAAATTGGGAAAAAAGTGTAGAAGTTCTTAGACAGTTTTTGGGGTTTTGAAAGGCAAAATGAGGTCGAATTTGGATAATTCTTGTATGGTTGGACTCGATATCGAATGGGTGTTCGAATTTTATAATTTTGGTCGGGTTCCGAGACGCAGACCTGGGACGACTTTTTGGGACGATTTTTTAATTCTTTGCTAAGATCATAATTTCATTATTTAAATTAGTTTCCTATAGTTATATTAATAATATGAAATTGTTTTGGCTAGATTCGAGCCGTTCGGAGTCGGAAAATCAAGGGAAAAACCTTCTAGTTGATTGATTTAGCATGATTTGAGGCAAGTGACTTGTCTAACCTTGTTTGGGGGAAATTTTCCTTAGGATTTGGTATTGTTGTGATGATTGTGAAATGTGAAAGCCGTGTGCGCGAGGTGAACAGTGCGTACACGGGCTAAATGTGAAATTTCTGGATTCTTGCTATGTAATTTCCTTTCATTCTTTAATCGAGTTACTTAAATATGTTATAAATATCATGTTTAGTCTAATTTCACATGTCTACTTGTTGTATCTCTTATTTGCAAATTGCCCTACATGTTTAGTTGAATTACTTTTTTTTTTTTTTTTTTTTGTATTCATTATTTAACTGTTGAACCCTTACTTGAAATTGCTGTTTTTGGAGTATTTTGCTGTTGAGTTTGGTATTGAGTTGCAAAGGTCGTGGTTTCTATTGAGGCAAAGTGTAAATTGTAAAATATCATTTTTATTGAGTTGTTATGTTTTTGCATTTGTGTTATTGTTGAGAGGATTGTTTGGTGGTTTGCACGAAGTTTCGGCGGTGCTGTTGATACTATTTGCACGAGGTTTCTGTCGTACCGTTGTTAGTATTGATACGCATACGGTGGTATAAGGTCTGGGTGTTGAAACGTATGCGGTGAGATAAGGTGGGCTTGATATGCGTGGCTATTAGGGAAACTACTAGAAGCCATGCGGTGTGATAAGGTGGGCTAAAACGCGGGGTGCTATTTAGAAAAAATAATTTTTAAAACTAAATATAAAGGCCCCCGCGGTGATATAAAGAAAGATTGTGAGTTACTTTTATGATTTGGGACTACGAGGCGATACCTCGGGAGTGCCCCTGTTGATCTTTTCTCTATTTGTTGTATTTGTTTGGTTGTTGTTTCCTTAACATGTAAAATCCTTGTCTTCCTTTCGTATTGTATTGATTTCCTTGATTCCGTGTTGCTAACCTTCCATAAATTCTTTATTGTTTCACTTCCTTTGTCATTATCATTATATCATTATATCTTATGTCTTATTTCTTATTATTTTCAGTAGGGCCTTAACTTGACCTCGTCACTACTCTACCGAGGTTAGGCTTGGCACTTACTGGGTACCGTTGTAGTGTACTCATACTGCGTGTCTGCACATCTTTTGTGCAGATCCAGGTACATCTTATCAGTCCCGGTACTAGCATGCAGAGTTGCTTTTGGAGACTTCAAGGTACACCTACCCGCGTCCGCAAGCCTCGGAGTCCCCTTCTACCCTGTTCTTCCTTGTTTCTTTATATTTTTATAGACAGTGATGTATAGAATTATTCAGTATTGTATCTAGAGCTTATGACTTATATCTCACCAGGATTTGAGAATTTTACGTATTGGGTTTACAGTTTTATTTACGATATTGTTGGAGTTTTGAAATTCTAAGCTTTTATTTACTATTTCTGCATGTTGTTTAGGCTTACCTAGTCTTAGATACTAGGTTCCATCATGACATCCTACGGAGGAAAATTGGGGTCGTGACAAGTTGGTATCAGATCTCTAGGTTCATAGGTGTTATGAGTCACAAGCAGGTTTAGTCTATGTACTTATCTTCGGGAGGCTATGAAACTATTAGGAAGAGCTTCACTTCTTTGATTCCTTATCGTGTGAAATATTTGACTTCAGGATTCTAAACTTCTGTCTTTCTATTCTCTCACAGATGGTGAGGACACGCACAGCCAGATCATATGACTAGACACCCGCACCCCCTGCTAGAGCCAGAGAGGCTGGGGCCGGGGTAGAGGCTGAGGACGTCCATATGGTGTAGCCAGAGTACCTACACGAGCTGTTACAGAGGATCCACCAGTAGCTCCAGATGGAGAGCAGGCATCTGATACACCTATTACTGCCCCAGTACTTCAGGAGACCCTCGCCCAGTTTCTGAGCATGTTTGGCACTTTAGCTCAGGCAGGGTTGATCCCACTTGCTCCTGCCACATCTCAGGTCGGAGGAGGAGCACAGACTCCTGCCACCAGTACCCCAGAGCAGTGGGTCCAGGTTGACCAGGTCCCAGAGGTCATACCAGTGCAGCCGGTCGCCCCAATTAAACCCGAAGTTAGGGAAGCGGTTTCTGAGGGGGAGCAGCTCAGGCTCGAGAGGTACAAGAAGTACCACCCTCCTACTGTCAGAGGATGCCAAGGGTTTTCTTGAGGAGTGCCACCGTATCCTCCATACTATGGGTATTGTGGAGTCTAGTGGAGTTGCTTTCACTATGTGCCAGCTTAAGGGTTCGACTTATCAGTGGTGGTGAGCATATGAGTTAGGTAGTTCGGCCGAGGCAGCTTCACTCACTTGGACTTAGTTATCAGATATGTTATTGATGGAGTTTGTTCCCCAGAGACTCAGAGATGCATGGCGCTGAGTTTGAGCAGTTGTGCCAGGGTTCTATGACCGTGTCGGAGTATGTGGTCCGGCTCAGTGATTTGGCTAGGCATGCACCAGTCTTAGTTGCTACCACTAGAGAGCGAGTTCATCGATTTATCAAGGGGCTTAACCCCGGTATCAGATTTAGCATGGACCGAGAGTTGGAGATGGATATCGCATACCAGCAGGTAGTGGGAATCGCTGGAGATTGGAGTGTATGTAGACTCGGTAGAGAGAGGAGAGGGAGGCCAAGAGGCCTCGAGATTCTGGTACATATAGTGGTACCCGTGCCCCAATTGCAACTCGTCATGGTAGGGACTATATTAGTCGCCCTGTTCATTCAGCACTTCCAGCCTCCAGCGGTATTCCGGCCACTCCTAGGCCTCAGGCTCCCTATTATGCACCACTATTGTCTCGTGCACCTCCTGTACTGGGTGCCTTCATAGGTCAGTCCAGCCGATCAGGCCCGAGCCAGCCACAGCAGCCACATCCTCTGAGAGCTTTTTTTGAGTGTGGTGACACTGGTCATATGGTGAGGGATTTCCCTAGACTCGGGAGGGGTGCACCTCCACCGACTACTCAAGCTCCACGTATTCCACCGGGTCGTTAGGCTTCTCAGTCCATGGTTGCCATGCTAGTTGAAACTCCACTAGCACAGCCAGCTAGAGGTAGAGGTCGAGCAGGTAGAGGTCAATGTCACACCCCGAACATGGGGGCGAGATCGGCACCCGGTTTCTCACTTAACCTAGCATACCAACTTGCGACTGGGGGACTCTGAACAAACAATGTCATAATTTGTCCATAGGGCCACATTGCAAGACAGTTTGTGAAACAAAATATTAAACTAAACGGAAACTAGCTCTGACTGAACATCAATATAAAGTTGGGCCGCCAATGCCATCATAACTACTACAGC